TTTGTTTTGCTTCGGTTGTAACACCTTTTTACATGGACCAGATTTTCAGTTTTCATCGATCTTCCCATCATTAAGTCACAGATTCTATTAGCTGCAATCAGTGGTAATCTCATCATCTTCCCATTTCCTTTTTATGACCATTGTACCAGCTGCTACTAAAAAAGAGATTATTACATTAACAAGCCAGCATCCACTTCTTATGTTCTAGAATTTCTTCCCAGTAAAGCCCATGTAAAGAAATGATCTGTTCAGTTGCGTTACATTATTAGGAAGTGTGTCCCGGCCGCAGACTATCCCTACAGTCAGCATAGCTTGAAGAGAACCTGTCCCAGAACAATAAAGCTAACGGGATGGAAGAAGGTGGAATTAGCTGCTCCATTGATGAAGGTTTTAGTGTAGGTACTATCATGTATATAAGGGACCTATCAAGAATGCCATTGGTGACCGGCTTTCGAAGGGGCTTTCTCCGGTTTTATCATACTTAGCCTTTCTTTATTATATGACCAATCAATGAAATATAATTCTTGCTGTGTGTCAAAGTTGTTACATTTGCCAAAGTGGCAGTTGTAACATGGATGTAAAGCCAACTTGATGGAGGTCTAAACCTTCCCCATTCTACCCAAAACCTTTTAAAGATTGTTTTTACATATACTTTATTGATAAAAACAGGGGCTGAAGGATATGTAAGCCCAATCACTAAAACCTCATAAAAGTTTTAGTCCTCTTGCACATTGGTGGCTGAGCCCATTCAATGCACTGGTGTATTACTCCTGCCTAGGAAGCCCAGGAGCAGCCTCTCATTCACACTTGAGCATTTTTCTATTCATTTCCCTATTCCTGACTATGCTTAGGTATCTCATTCTTTCTAATCACCCATTTTAACACTTGTTCATCCAATCACCCTATGCTCTACGCCAGTGGTCTCCAAACTGCAGCCAGGGGGCCAGATGTGGCCTTTATCCGGCCCTTGGGGCTCTATACCTTCCACTGATACCAACAATGAGGCACTATCCCTCCCAATAATACCAATGATGGGGTACTATCCCTTCCATTAATTCCAATGATGGGGCACTAGTCCTCCCACTGACACCAACAATGGGGACTATTCCTCCCACTGACACCAATAATGGGGAATTATTCCTCCCACTGATACCAATGATGGGATACTATTCCTCCCACTGACACCAATGATGGGGCCCTATTCCTCCTACTGACACCAATGATGGGGCACTATTTCTCCCACTAAAGATGTGATATTGTTTACTCCAGCCCCCCTAAAGTCTAAAGGACAGTAAACTGGCCCTGTGTTTAGAAAGTTTGGGGATCCCTGCTCTACACCCCTACACTCCAAAAATGTACACAAGCTTCGTTTTAGCGTATTCAAAAGTTTTTGGTCCATACACTTCTATGGGAGCACCTGTAAATGCACATTAGGTGGGTTTTAATGTGTGAAGAACTGTTCCCCTCCCTTGGCGAGCCCAGAAGCAAACACCTGAAGCTTCTGTAGCACACCCCCGCAGGAGTGCCGGTAAAACTGATTCCTTTCCCCAAGATCAGGGCTCACACAGCCAGGCACACAGCATTTTATCCATTCCACTGACTCAAATAGAACAGTCTTTGGGTTTCTTCTTATGCTTTATTGCAAAAGTAAACATGGATGGGGTGAAAGGAGCATGGGATACCCCAAAACTGCTGATCTGATTTCTTTGAGGACTCTTCTCTTTCTTGCTGAGTTGCACAAAAGTCTCACAAAACTCTTCACTGGATGACAAGTGACTATGCCTTCCTTCTATGAACTGAGAGCTACACTCAGTCACTAAGGCCCAAATCTTAGATCATCTACTCACAATGCCGCAGGATCACCGGCTGTCTGCTTCCGATATCCAGCGGGCAATCTGCAGGGAGGGAGACATGGACTCACAATACGGCAGGGCAGCTGGACACTCGTCTCCCAGCATCCACAGGGTACTCTTCAGTGAGCACTCCAGAACCTCCAGAACTTTTGCAAATAGGGCCCCCAGCATAAGTTCCAGCAGGAACCTTGAACACACTGCTCCAGGCCACCAACTATTTATGGGCTCTCCGGCCACCTACTAGGCACACCTCCCCAGGGATTGTCTGGATCCTCCTCTGCTGTTCCTCTCACTAAATTTATAGAATCCTCTAGAAATATCCTCTAGGGGGAAGCAATCAGATCAGCAGCCTGTGATACTCTGAGCAGACCAGAGTAATCAACCCTTGCTTCACTGACTACAGAGGAGCTAAAGAAAATTGATTTAGCAGTAGGGTGGTACACTTGATACACATGTAAAAAACATTTGTATTAAGCCTGCAAAAAGCCCCAAGAACGCCTGTAAAAAATGCTTTGATTGCACTCTTCTCAGGTGTGTGAATGCAGGCTTAGGCATGATTGGCTGTGTGTGGGTTGTACTCAAATATATGCCTGGGCTATCAAATCATTAGTGAATGGCCTTACAGGGGTCGGATAATCATCTGTGCATACCTATGACGTGAACCAGTAAAGCGTTCCTGTGAACCCCTAACACAAGGAGTGAGAGGCCACCAATGGTGCCTGAAAACCATGTACAGGCCCCTTACCTCTTCATTCACTGACTGGCATACTCTGCTTCCTCACTGCGTAAACACATAATTATGTAATTCCTTTGATCTCACCTTTCTTGCCCATGAATTAGTATTTAGCGGAATTTAGATCAGCCTTTCTCAACCTTTTAACACAGAGGGACCCTTGAAATAACTTTCTCAGGGAACTCCTTATATAATATACAGTGGGGCAAAAAAGTATTTAGTCAGCCACCAATTGTGCAAGTTCTCCCACTTACAAGGATGAGAGAGGCCTGTAATTGGCATCATAGGTAGACCTCAACTATGAGAGACAAAATGAGAAAACAAATCCAGACAATCACATTGGCTGATTTGGAAAGAATTTATTTGCAAATTATGGTGGAAAATAAGTATTTGGTCAATATGAAAAGTTCATCTCAATACTTTGTTATATATCCTTTGTTGGCAATGACAGAGGTCAAACGTTTCCTGTAAGTCTTCACAAGGTTGGCACACACTGTTGCTGGTATGTTGGCCCATCCTCCATGCAGATCTCCTCTAGAACAGTGATGTTTTGGGGCTGTCGCTGGGCAACACGGACTTTCAACTCCCTCCCAAGGTTTTCTATGGGATTGAGATCTGGAGACTGGCTAGGCCACTCCAGGACCTTGAAATGCTTCTTATGAAGCCACTCCTTCCTTGCCCGGGCGGTATGTTTGGGATCATTGTCATGTTGGAAGACCCAGCCACGTTTCATCTTCAATGCCCTTGCTGATGGAAGGAGGTTTGCACTCAAAATCTCATGATACATGGGAGAACTTGCACAATTGATGGCTGACTAAATACTTTTTTGCCCCACTGTAATATAATTAATATATCTGCAACTCATGATACATTATTGTGATGGTCATTGGGAATATGCACCTTACATTTGTGGTCATTGGAAAGAATTACCCTCTATTCAAATAGCTAAAAAAATCAATTATGTCAGAGGGAACTTATCTGAGAAACAAAAATTGCTCAAGGAACCCCTAGCAACCTCTGGAGGAACATTACGATTCTATGGAACCCTGGCTGAGAAACCCTGATTTAGACTGAAAGAGTAAAGCTGGGGGTACATAGAAAAAATCTAACAGATTCCTCCATCCACCCTATGATCAATCTCCCACAGTGGCTTTTGTATTTTGACAGCTGGCACTTGTAGCTGTCAGAATACCTGAACAATGGTTGCATCTGATTAGATGCAGCTGCTGTTTGGTTAACAATTTTCCATCTGGCTCCTTTGATTTAATTTTACTTGAAGAATGTCAGATGGGAGGGTGGCGACAGGAGAGGACAGGGCCAGGACAGATCAAATTTTGCGTAGTGTGTAGCTCCCTTAAAGCCAAATCATGGAGATACCTGAAGCCTGGTACCTGGGGAAAATATGCCAGCGCCAGCGAGGGACCTGGACCAATACAGGCAAGTTAAATTACATGCCTTTAGTTCTGCTTTAGGGTGTGCAGTGGTATGCATTGCATTGAAACAGCTAATTGAAAACAACGCCAATGCACCCAAAATGCGGTGTGACCTATCTTCTCTAAAGCAACTCACTACCTAATTTATTTATTACAGGTACTTATATAGCCCTCAAGGGGCGTACAATCTAAGGTCCCTAACTTACATATACTAGGGACAATTTATACAGGAGCCAATTAACCTACCAGCATGTCTTTGGAGCGTGGGAGGAAATCCACACAGGCACAGGGAGAACATGCAAACTCCAGGTTGTACTGTGGTTGGGATTTGAACCAACAACCCTAGTACTGCCAGGTGGAAGTGCTAACTATTTAGCCACTGTGCTGCCTATAATGAAACATGCTGTAAGGTAGGTACATTGCATTAGTGCGGTGGGGTGCCATCCAAGGCAGCAGCACATGTAACTCATGTTACTGCAACACAATAAGGGAAATGGGCCCTATGTCAAAGTCAATGGCACTCCAATGCAGCAGTTCACGTGACACACGTTACCACAATTTAAAGTGTAAATGGTCGTATGTCCTTTTAAAATTACTGTACAGAAGGCAATATCTACGTGTACACTAAAAGAGCAGCTTCGTGTCACCCTTATCTGGCTGCACCAAGTCCTGCAAAGTGCAGCTAACAGCGTCCTCGGTGGAGTCCGCTTGCAAGGAAATTTGTGGATTGTTTTAGGAGCTGGGTTCTTCATTCATTCAGTGAAGAGGGTTTGATTGCTATTGACTGATGACGCATATTGCTTTTTCTACATGGAGAGGCAGGTGGTCCCCCTTTGTTGTGCACACAGAGCTGTCTGTCGGGGGACCTTTGCCCTTCCAATGCCACTAGCAGTTGTGGAGATCTCTTTATCTGTGTGTGACAGGACTCTCCCTCATGACACCCCTCTATGACACTTTCCTTTTCTTTCTCCCTCTTCACAGGTCAGAGCTTAGGATATGGATTTGTAAATTACGTGGATCCCAATGATGCAGATAAGGCCATTAACACCCTCAATGGGCTGAAGCTACAGACTAAGACCATTAAGGTGAGCAATCGGGATGACACTGAAGAACCAGCGCTCTAACTCACACCAACCAATCCCGTGTCTCCTAGTTTAGTGGTGTGTGCGGGTAGACATGGATGAGAACAGAGCTCATAGAGTTGGCTCATAGTAACTGGTTATGTCTTGTGCATTCCCGCACATGCCCTAGCAGCATATAAACGGGTTCCCATTGGTTATTATGGGGCAATACAGCAAGTTCTTCTTGATGCTTTAATATTAAACTTCCAAACTGCATTAAGAAAATTCACCTGGAATCAAACTGAATGACACAGTGACCACAGGTAGGTTTAAATCGAAAGGTGAGCCTTTCCTGTACTCTAGGATCATGGCTTCATTGTTCAGGAGAAAAATTACACCGGGTTCATGAAAGAAAGAAAGAAAGAAAGAAAGAAAGAAAGAGAGAGAGAAAGAGAGAGAGAAAGAGAGAGAGAAAGAGAGAAAGAAAGAAAGAAAAAGAAAGAAAGAAGAAAAAGAAAGAAAGAAAGAAAGAAAGAAAGAAAGAAAGAAAGAAAGAAAGAAAGAAAAAAGAAAAAAAAAGAAAGAAAGAAATGGATTAGAAATGTAAACATCAATAAGACAGAGAATTAGATAGATAGATAGATAGATAGATAGATATTGATAGATAGATAGATAGATAGATAGATAGATAGATAGATAGATAGATAGATATTGATAGATAGATAGATAGATAGATAGATAGATAGATAGATAGATAGATAGATAGATAGATAGATAGATAGATTTGATAAAGATATAGCATAGATAAATATATAGATATAGATTTGATGTATAGACATGAGATGAATAAATGAAGAGTTAGATACATAGATATAGATAGAATAAATAGATAGAATACATAGATAAGGCAGGTGGAGCAATAGAGACATATAAGATATTGTAAATAAATATATGGATACTAGATGCATATCCATAAGATATACAGAAATAGTTACATATAAGAGATCTATAGATAGATAGATAGAGAGAGAGAGAGAGAGAGAGAGAGAGAGAGAGAGATAGATAGATAGATAGATAGATAGATAGATAGATAGATAGATAGATAGATAGATAGATAATCTATGTATTTCCATATGTAGAGATATAATAGTAGGGAGATATAAGGATAGATGGTTGGATGTGAAGGTACTATAGTGATACCATTATAGCCCATACAAAGTCGGGAAACGCTTTGGGTGTGAAGCCTGGCCAGAAGAGCTTACAGTCCCTAAAGAAGAAAGACTGGATAAAAAAGTTAATAGGACAGATAAATATATTTTGTCCTGTACAATTCTATACATACAGAATTGTCTGGAACAGATTGTGGCCCCCCTCCCATCAGTGAAACAAAGAAATAAGATCTGCCTCCCCCTCCCCGATGGCAGACTGACAGATGCCCTCCAAGCAGTATACCTTCTCTCTTAAGGTCACAGCATATCGTTCAGGCAGCAGGTCCACCAAGATGGAAGAACATTCTTTTGTCTCTCCTTTGTCATTCAGATGTCGCCCCCTTGGGGAGAGGGATGCTGTGAATAGGGAGGGAAGGGAAGGAGGGGAGTTGGGGAAGAGACAAAAGCACTCAGCCATCTGTCCACTCTCCGGCTAATTATGGGGTATTGCCCCTGGAGATTATCTCAATGGAGGGGGGTGTAGTATAGGTTGGGACAGGAAGCCAGCTGCTGCCATTAAAGGCCAAATCAGTGCAATGCAGGAAAAAGTTAAAGCATAAGTCTCGCAAAGCCAAAAAGTAACCTAATCAGAGATAATGAAAAGAGGGGCTGGACCCATTGTGACCCGGCACAGCGACGGATTTAATGTGCTGTCAGTGTCACTTATTCCTAATGAAAGTGACATGGGCCATCAAGGACTACAGCTGATACGTGTGTTATACTGGCAGAGCCGTCATCTTGGTTAGCAGCTGTTGTTTAATGACTACACCTATTAGCTGACACTTATTGCCGCAGACAGTTTGAAAAATAGTCCTGAAAGTATGACAACGCCTTCCCAAACAGAAGGTGTTTATAAGGCATCACGAAAAACAGGTCCTTTATTCCCCAATGTAGGGTAACGGGTGGAACCATACAAATGGTTTCTTTAAAATACAAAAATTTAGCAAATTGAAATAGTCAGGCATATCAGCGGTAGTCATTTTTGCTGATGTTGATTCGCTTGACTACCTGTTTGCTAAATTACATTTTTCTATATATACTTTTAGAGGTGATCAACACAGCAATAGAAGGAGATTGAAACCACTGACACCACAACCATACCATTGATACATTTGATATCTCAACCATTACATAATAAATATATAGACTTTTCCTTTAAACTATTTCAACAAAGTGGGTGATGTAAAGAGAAGGCCTGGCAGGAGAAAACACAGCTTTAGTAGATTGTAAGCTCTTAGGAGCAGAGCCCCCTAATCTTCCTATCCTTAAATTGTATTGCAATGGTATTGTCTCCCTTTATATTGTAGAGTACTGCACAAACTGTTGGTGCTGTAGACATCCTATTTATAAATATTGATAATATTAATTATATATGTGTCATCAGGGCTGCTGTTAGAAACCACAGGGCCCTATACAGCCAACTTTACAGGCCCCCTCCCCCCCCCAAAAAAACCCACACAGTTTACTATGCTTTGCTTATGAATGAACACAGTGAGTGATCAGTACCGATTACTCATTGTGTTCATTCAGGAAAGAAAGGGGCTGGTAAATGTGACATATTTACTGGACTCTCCCCCCACTCTCCATCGTGAAGGATCCTATTGTGTGCTTGCAGCTGCCAGTGGTAAGGAGAAGAGGGAAACCAGCAGCACGCAAGGAGTAAGGGGGGCACACAGGGGGGATTGGACAGCAGGGGAAAATGCATGGTGCACAGGGAGGGTGATGGGTGGGGTGGAGTGTGGGGGGGGGGGGGGCAGTTACTGGAACCGATCGCCTGTATGCTTCTCTCTGCAGTAGCTGAATGCCAGCGGGAGGGAGAGGAGAAAAAGCCAGCTTTCAGCTGCTGCAGAGAGATCCATACGGGGGATCAGTTCCAGTAATTTCTCTTCATGCTGTGCTGATAACCCTCCCTGCCCACATCTGATTCACCTAGTTGCCTGGGCCCCCCTGCTGGCCTGGGCCCGTACAGGAGGACTGGTGGTACCCCCTTATCCACGGCCCTGTGTGTCGTCTGCTTGCAAGAACTTGTGCAGTAATTCTGTTCAGCTACTCTTGTTGTTGATGGGGAAATCCCTCCCGCGGAGCCATTGTGTTCTCCCGGCAGAGGGGGGGGGCGACGAGAGAACACAATGATTACTGCTAAATGCTATGAGATCTGCTAGCAATAATAACATGTAAAATCTGGCAGGCTGGTTGTACCCAAGTTGATCGATCTATCATCTTGGGTACATTCAGCCTACCCATGCATAGTTCGACTCTTGACTGGTCCTTGCCGAACCGGCCAAAGTTCAAAACATATATGGCCATTGGCCAGCTTTACCTAATCCTTCAAGCACAAGACCAGTCTAGCGATCTTGAGTTGTGGACTGGTTCTGACGTCGTCCAACCCAGAGCAGGCTCCATTCCATAGACCAGGAACAGTCCACCACTGGAACATGGGGGAGCGCCATTTTCTGGTGGAACGAAGGATCAGGTGAGTATAAGCTTTCTCCTCACCCCTAGACAAAATGAGCAGTTGACCTGTGCAGTGCCGGCACATCCCCACTGCATGGGAAAACTTTTTTTTTTGTCTGGAGATGGGCTTTAAACTGGCCATACAGTAGAAGATATTTGAACAAACATTCATACGAATTGGGCGGCTATTCCACCGCAAGACAAGGCAAAATACCTTGTCTCCTATGTGCCTTGTTCATACCACTGTGTTGTGGTGGTGTACAGGCAGTGTGTCCTGAAAAAAAAAAGTATGGAAGGCCATACTTTTTTCAATGCAGCACAGTGCGCTGCACCCCCCCCCCCAAAAAAAAAAGTTCTCATCAGTAAATTTAATGACTTGACGAAAGTAGTTTGAAAAAACATTTGGTTTTAACGTTCAATTTTCAGATGAAACCACATTCACATTCAACATTCAGAATCCCCTCCTCCAACTCCAGACTTCTCACTGGACAATGAAACATCATCATCATCCCTTCTGTCCAGTTAGAAAGTTGTCAAGCCGCTTTAGGAAATAATGAAGTCATCTTCCCAGCTATTGGAATTCTTTGGAAATTGCAAGTTTTTGTTGAATTAGGCCAGTGTAGCAAAGTTGCTGGTCATTAGGAAGTGCAACATCTAACAACCAAACCCAATCAGACAATTTCCTGATTATCAGTTCACCAGGAGCTGAGGGCAGGAAAGGCATGAGTCCCTGAAGATAGATCGCACCAGTTAACTAATTGTACAGGAGTGGTCTCAACAAGTTGACATACACTGATACATTAAAACCCAATCATAAACTGGCCTGCACAATTGTACCTAAAGCCATACACATGTAGATTTCTTTTATTCAGCCTCCATACTGAACGATAGAAATCTAACAGATTCCTCCATCCTCGCTAAATAGCCTGGATGGACAGATCTCCTACTGTAACTATTGTATTCTGACAGCCGGCATCACCAGCTTTTCAGAATGCCTGCATCTGGCTGAATGCAGATGCTGTTCGCCCCACAAATTGCAGCCCGACCCTTTCAACTTTTCATCTGAAGGATGCCAGGCAGAATGGTGTGGAAAGGCCAACCACTGATCAAATTTTGGATGGTTCCTCAGAAACAGGCCAAGATTCGCTCAGTGCATGGCCAGCTTTACTTGACTGGGCTTAAAAAAAAACTAAGAGCCGTTGCACGGCATGTCAAGCATTCAATCAAATTATTTAACAATTGTGACATGTGAAGATAGCTGTACATATAGATAAATCTTCATTGCCCCTTTACCAATCCCCATTCTACCTACTGTATATCTTCTTTTACTTACATCAACAGGCAACCCAGTACAGGAGCTGC